GTCTCTCATCTCCACAGTCAGGAACTCGGCGCCCAGCGACTTGGCCTGCAGCGGGCGGGGCGCAGGAGGGGCGGGGGCGGGGGCGGGGGCGGCGGGAGAGGCTTGGCGGGTGCACGGGGGAGGCCAGCCGGCGAAGCCGCCAGCGAGGGTGTGGGGCGCGGCCCGGGACCCTACCCAACCCGACGAGCGCAGCAGCCGCCGCGCCGGCCAGCAGCCTGGGGCACCCCAGCGCGCAGCACCCCGCCCCTGCACACCACGTACAGCACACACAGGCGCAGGCGCAGGCGCAGGCGCGCCCGCACCTGCTCCGCCACGGCGGCGCGCGTGTCAAACACGCGCACAATGGCACCCATGTTCTTGGCGGTGCCCACGGCGGCCAGGCCTGCAGGGGGCAGGGGCGCAGGCGCCAGCGCGGCGTCGGCACGTGCGGCCTGGCGGCGGCACCCTCGCTGCCGCGCGGCTGCCCGCGCCTGCCGAACCCCTCCTCCTCCTCGCAGCCCCGCGGCAGCCTGCCGGCAGCGTGCGGCCCACCCGCCACGCCGCCGCCGATGATGAGGACCTTGGCGGGCGGCACGCGCCCCGCCGCCGTGATCTGGCCAGTGAAGAAGCGGCCAAAGTGCTGCGCAGCCTCCACCACCGCCCTGCGCAGCGGGCGGCGCAGACAAGGGCGGGCGGGCGGGCGGTAGAGTGAGCTGGGCAGGTGGCGGTGCACTGACGGATCGCGTGCTGAGGATGATGCAGCAGGGCGGGCAGCCCAGGTCACCAGCTGGGGCCTGGGGCCAGGCCATGCCAGGCCACACTCAGCCATAACGCCGGCCCCTGCCGCAGGGCCCACCTGTAGCCAGCGATATTTGCCATGGAGGAAAGCGCGTCAAAGGTCTGGGCGCGGCTGATGGTGCGAGGGATGCAGTCCATGCCTGCGGAGGAGGGCGGCACGCACGTGCAGGGCGAGCGTGTGCGGGCATCGGCAGCGCGGCAGGCACCGGCAGCGCGGCAGGCACCTGCAGCGCGGCAGGCATCGGCAGCGCGGCAGGCATCGGCAGCGCAGCGGGGCGGCTCCAGGGCAGGCAGCGGCAGCGCGGCACGGCAGCCCAAGGATAAACAGCTCCAGGGCAAGCGGCGCCGGGGCGCGGCGCGGCGCCTCACCCAGCACCGTCATCTTCTTCTGCTGCAGCTGCTCCACCAGCTCCTTGTTCTGGGCGGGGTAGATGAAGCTGACCAGCCTGCCGCCCTCCTTGAACAGGCTCACCTCCTTGGCAGCATCTGCGCCGCGGCCAGGGGGGTGGTGCGGCGGGGGAGGGGGGGACAGGGACGCAGGGCAATCAGCGCGGCAGGGCGCGGCCGAACAGCGAGGGCAGGCGCAGGCACGCGGCGCGCGGAGCGCGATGCCTACGTACATCCGCCAGGCTGGGGCCATCAGCCTGGCGCGACCGCGCCGATTCCGGCGGGCCGCCCGCTCAGGCAGGCTGCGCAGCCGGCCGGTAGGGCTGTGCACGGGCGCCCCACCTGGCGGCCTGATCTTCAGCACAATGTCCTGGCCAAAGGCGTCCGAGGTGGTGCCGATGGTGGCGCCCGCAGACGTGTACTCCTCGTCCTGGGGGGCAGAGGGGGGCGGGGTGGTGCGCGCAGAGGGTGGGTGGCGGCGAGGGGTGGTGGGATGGCAAGCGCTCTCCAGGGCCTGGGCTCTGGGGCTGGCTTGTGCCGGGCCAGGGGCGAGGAGCTGGGGGTTGCGGGCAGGTGAGGGGCACGGCTCCCCGCAGGCGCGGCCGCCGCCTCACCGAGAAGTTGGCGAGGGCGCCCGCCCCGCTCTCCACCACCACGCTCTTGAAGCCGGCCTTGCGCAGGGCCGCCACGCCCTGGGGCGTCAGCGCCACGCGCCGCTCATTCTCAAACGTCTCGCGGGGCACGCCTGCAGGGGCGGGGCACCGTGCACGCCGGCTCAGCCTGTTGCTGCGACAGCAGGTGGGCCCGCCAGCATGGGCGCGCTCATTGCCGGTCTTGCCGCCGCCGCCGCCGCCAGATCGTGGCCAGACCCAAAGCAGGTGGAGGAGAGCAGCCCCGAGACGAGAACGCCCACTCACCCACGCTCAGCTGGGTGTAAGGCACGCCCACCCCCGCTGCAGCCCCCGCCGACGATGCAAAGGAGGCGTGCTGCTGGCTGTCGTCCTTCTTGGGCTTCTGGGGTGCCTCTGGGGTGGCAACGTTGGTGATCACCGCATATCGGCGCACGGATGGGCCCCTGTAGGCCGCTGCTGCGGGCGGGCAGTGGATGGAGCGCAGCAGCGAGGGAACTGCGCGCTGTAGGCCTGCACAGCGGGTGAGCATCGTGGGCCTGCTGCTGGATGTGCCGCACAACGCCGCTTGGGCCTTCATATATCAGGGCTCCAGCTGAACTGGCAGCACTGGTTATTTTGTATCTCGCCCCTTGCTTGCAATGCGAGAAGAAGATTGGGGTATGGAGTTTCAAGGGTTGCAAGTATGAGGCCAGCGATTAGGAGGGAGCCTCGAAGTGGCGGCGGGGATCCACTGGGATCTGCAGCCGAGGCGATTGCTCTTCCATGCTTCGACAGAATGTCACACGCCTCCCATTCACGTGGCAAGGGTTTGCTGCCCGTCCGGCGGGGGCGGCGATGGCAGCGCCACCCTCCCTCGTGAGCACGACAGCCGCCCCTTCCAAGGGCGATAGCATCGCAGCTGTAACCTATGGATGCGTGCAGAGCCATAGTCAGCACAGCCAGGGACAGCCGCCGCCGCCGCCGCCCTGTTGGCGGCACCGCAGGCAGGCAGGCACCAGGCAGGCAGGCAGACAAGCGGCTGGTTGGACCCCGCTTTTGCCCAAGCGGATCACTGCTTGCCGCTGATTTGTGGGTGCAGCTCAGGGATCCCTGCTGGCCAGCCGGCACGCCAAGCTACATTCAGTGGAGCAAATAGCCTGTCCTCATGGTGCAGTTGGCAGCTCCGGAGGATCCTCCTGCCAACAGGCTCCAAGGGAGGCCGACCAGCATGCCGCCTGGGGCTACTGAGGCATGAATGGACGTCGCAGCTCTGCCTCTGTCATAATTCTGTTGTTGCACACGGGCTGTTGCACCCGCGCCGTGGAGATGTGCACCATCAAGCGCGATGTTCCTCGTCTAGCTGACTGGCTGTGCTGAGGGCGTCCTGAAGCATTCTTGCGGTCGATAAGCAGCTGCTGCTACTCACGTGCCGGAACCCTGTGTATGAGGCAATGCTACCGCCGGCCGGCCGTGGGAGGCGGCGCCAAACCGGCGCTCACATCATTTAGCTGCTGGGGCAGGCCTGAATCCATGCCGTGGGGCTTGGAATACCCTTGGCGTTGTAGTACACGTAGATGAATGCGCTGGGCAGCTATGGTCGAACCACAGAGTGCCGCGGCTTGCCAGCAACGTCGGGCGGGCGTTGTCGGCGAGCGGTCAGCAGGGGCGGGGCGGAGAGGGCTGGAGGCCGCCTCCTGCTTGCTTGATTCTTTCAGCTTCTGCTGCCTCTCCTATGTAGGGCAGTCTAGCTGCGAATTTTGGTTTCGAAGCTCGCCGCATGGGTCAGCAGGGGCTGGTGGTGCCTAAGATGCCCCCTGCGCACCGTGGCAGCCGCTTTTCCTGCCCGATGCACGTCAGGAGGCTTCTCTAGGACTTAGATGGGAGCAGCTGGGCTGGAGGCGGCGGGCCTTGATGGCGACCAAACGGCCGCCGGGCTGGCTGGGCAGCAGCCGGAGGACGACGGCAGGGCTGCCTGTCCGAGGTAAGGCTCTTGCGCGGGAGCAATGTGACACTGGTCTCGGGGTGCGTTTGAGAGGATAACCCCGGTCGCCGCCCTCTCCCACGCTTGCAGCGTCAAACTAGCGGCCCCAACGAGCGAGGCGGGCGGTGCGCTGGCGTGCCGGAAGGGCAGCCTGGCCCCTCACCCCGCCGCGGCCGTCGTGGCGCGCACTGGCGGCGGCGCCTGCCCGGGCAGGGCAGACGGCAAGGGCGCCTATGGCGCTGCACTGTGCGCGATAGCCATCCACGAGCTGGATGAGGAGGCCATCGAGCTGATCTTCACCTTCCTGCCGGTTGAGGACCGTCGCAGCGCGGCCGCCGTCTGCCGCCTGTGGCGCCGCGTCCACAACTCCAGCACCAAGCTCTGGGGCAGCGTGCTGCTGTCGGGCGAGCGCATCGTGCAGGCGAGCTGCTGCAGCGCTGCGGGAGAGGCCGGGGAGGGCGGCGCAGGGCCTGCGCAGGGCGCCGCAGCGCCCGGGACCCCGCGCGGCGGGACAGCATGAGCCTGGGGGCTCGGCGCCGCCGCCTGTGCACGTGCGCAGCTGCCGAGTGCGGGCTGCTGGGCGGCGCACCAGGCTGCACCTGAACCCAGCTTCTGCTGCACGGCCGCTGCGCGCAGGCGGCGGCCTCCTCGTCAGCGGCCGCCATAGTGTCGTGGCTGGGCGCGCGCCTGGAGGCGATGCGTAGCGTGCGGCTCTGGAGCCCCTGCCTGCCGCTGGAGGCCTTTGCCTCGGGCCTGGCGCAGCTGCTGAGCCGCGAAAACAGGCTGCAGGTGCGGGGGGAGGGGCCGGCTGGGCAGCCAGCAGCAGGTGGCGCCGCACCGCCATGGCTGCTGCTGTGCACCATGGCTTGAAGCGGTCCACCCACCTTCCCTCCCTCCCGGGTTGCCCCCTGCCGCCCTGCAGAGCTTCAGCTACGTCAGCACCGACGCCAGCGTGTCGCGGCTGCTGGGGGAGCTGCAGGGGCTGACCTCGCTGCAGCTGCTGGACATCCTGTCGCCCGCGTTTGGGTCGGGGCAGGGCCTGGTGGTCAAGGCGCGGGAGCTGGCCAAGTGAGGCCCCTGGGGGTGGCGGCGCACACGCCCGGGGCAGCCACAGCACGCCATCGTGCCATGCTGTGTGCCATGTTGTGGCGCAGCGGGGGCAGGCCTGCTGTGCTGCGCAGCCGGCTGCGGCTGCGGTGTGTCGTGGCGCCGGCCAAAGCGCGCCCCCGCCGCCTTCCCCTTTTGTGTCGGCGCAGGCTGAAGCCGCTGAGCAACCTGCTGAGCCTGCAGCTGCACGCGCGCGAGATCCGCGGCTCGCTGCCACCCGCCCTCTTCCGCTGCCTCAACCGCCTGCAGCACCTGGCCATCTCGGGTGCGCCTAGCTGGCCCTCCTGCTGCGGCCCCCCCCTCCGCTTGCGTGCCCAGCAGTCGTGCGCGCGCCTGCCGCATCCCTGCCCGGCGCGCCTGCCGCTGAGCCGTCGTGCCCCTTGCCCTGGCCCCGCCCGCCCGCTGCCCGTGCAGCCAAGTGCCGCCTGCCCGCGGCGGTGGTGGCGCAGCTGTCGGGGCTGCAGAGCTTGGAGCTTCATGGTGCTAGCATGGACGTGGCGGCGGCGGAGGCTGCGGCCTCCCTGCAGCAGCTCACGCGCCTGGCCATCAGCGTGCACAGCCAGCGCTGCGAGGAGCGGGAGCAGGAGGAGGAGGCGGGAGGCGGCGGCGGCGCGCGGCGGCGGCGCGGCGGCGCCGCCGCCAAGGCCGCCGCCTGCGGCGAGGTGCAGCGCTGGCAGGACCACGCCATCTGGGGGCAGCTGCCGCAGCTGGCGCGCCTGCAGCAGCTGTGGGTGGGCGCAGAGCTGCCCGAGGCGGGCGGCGGCGGCGGCGGCCAGCGGGGCGCCTCCATCCTGCCCTACGATGTGCTGGAGGGGTCGGTGCCAGACGGCATCATGGACTGCAGGCGAGCCGCGGCGGCAGCCGGGAGCGGGGGAGGCGGGCAGCAGCGGAGCCAGGCCAGGCCAGCAAGGCTGCTGCCACCAGGGGGTGCCTGCCAGAGCAGGAGGGCTGCGTGGCTGCCTGCCAGTTGCTGCGCCGCTGTCAATTCCGGACCAGCCTCCCTGCTGGCGCCGCCGAGCCGCGCACCCCTGCCCTCTCCACCCTCCCTCCCTCCCTCCCCGCCCGCCTGCCTGCAGCGCGCTGACGCACCTGGTGCTGCCTGTGGCGCTGACTGCGCTGCCAGACCTGGTCCCCGGCCAGCTGGCGGGGCTGGCGGCGCTGGACCTCACACACTCCATCGTGGAGGGGCTGCCACCCTCCTGGTGCCGCCAGCTGCAGGCGAGGGCGCGCGCGCGGGCAGGCGGGGCGGCTGGCAGGCGGGGCGGGGCGCGTATCGCACGGCCACCCCGCCAGCTGGCTGCTTGCCCCTCGTTCCGGACATGCTCGCCCATTGCCTGCGCCGCGCGCTGCTGCTGCTGTGCACAGCCTTGACACCCCTGCCCCCTGGCCGACCCTGGCTGCTGCAGAGGCTGCACCGGCTGGTGCTCAACGGCGCCCCGCTGGCGGGCGGCCACCTGCCCCCCGCCTTCTCCACGCTGCACGGGCTGCGGCACCTGGAGATGAGGGCCTGCCGCCTGCAGGCGTGTGCGGGCCGGGGCGCCGCCGTGCGCTTGCCGCCAGGGCGGGTGTGGTGGTGTGGCATGGCGGGGTGTGGTGTCATGAGGGTGGGGTGGGGTGGGGTGCGCGTCAGCCTGGGCGCCTTGCCCCGCCCTGCTCCCCAAAGCTTGCCTGGCTCGCCCCTCACCCCTCTGTTCGGCTGCGCCCCCCGCAGGCGCTGCCCCAGTGCGTGGCGCAGCTCCCCGGGCTGACACACCTGGACCTGGGCATCAACCGCCTGGCAGACCTGCCGGGTGCGGGCCCCGGCGGCAGCAGCCTGCTTGGCGCCCTCCCAACTTTGTGTGTCTGTGCTTCGTTCGTCCAGCCGCCCTCAGCCACCTCCCGCGCCCTGCCCCTGCCGTGCCCCGTGCCGTGCCCCCTGCAGGCGGCCCCTACCTCGCCCACCTGCAGCAGCTGGTGCTGCGCTGCAACGCGCTGCGGGCGCTGCCGCGGGCGCTGGCGGGCGCGCCCCGCCTGCAGCTGTTGGATGTGGGGGAGAACGAGGAGTGAGCCGCCCCTGTGCTGCGCCTGTGCCCCCACATCCTGGCCTCTGATGATGGCTGCTGCCCAACCGCACGCCCCTCGATGCTTTGCCAGGCCTGCCCGGCAAGCCCTGGCCGACGCCGCCCGCACACACCCCTGCCCGCTGCGTCCCCCCCTGTGTGCCTGCAGCCTGGTGCTGCAGGGCAGCGATGTGGAGGGCGTGCTGGGCCGCATGCCCGACCTGCGACACCTGGTGCTCAGCCGCCAGCCCTCCGGCTTTGGCTTTGGGCCCTACATCAGGTGTGCCCACACCGCACCACCTGGCCTGGCCTGGCCTGGCACGCCGCTGCGGCCGCGCCGGCCGCCACACCGACGCCGGCTGAGCAGGCGAGCTCCCCTCCCCTCCCCGCCTCTGCCCCAGCCAGCCGCCTCACCCCCGCCTGCCCCTCCCTGCCCCCCTGCGCGCTCCGCCCTGCAGCGCGGGCAGCGGCGCGGCCTGGGATGCGCAGTCGGTGGGCGTGCTGATGCAGCTGGCGCGCTCGCTGCCCACCCTCTGCGTCCACCTGGAGCGAGACGAGCAGCGGGGCGCGGCGGCGCCGCCGCCGCCGCCGCCGCCGCAGCAGCCCTACCGTGCCGCCGGCAGCGCCGCCTGCCAGTGAGCCTGGATGCACAGCGCGGGGCGCGTGCAGCGCGCCCGCCGTAGACGCCACGCCTCCTGCGTGCCTAGCCTAGCCCCCCACGAGCCCTCCCCCCCCCCCTCAGCAAACCCAACCCGCCTGCCTGCCTGCCTGACTTGCGTGGCCATATAGCGACCTCCTAGGGCGCCACGCCCCCCTAGCTGACGCGACACCCCATTGCTACTTGTTGGCGGGACCAGCCAGCCAACCAAACTTGCACGGCAGCCCTTGTTTTCCCTCGTGCACGCCGCCGTGCCGCCTGCGCCGCCCCCCGGCCTGCACCCCCGCCCTGCGAGTGTGCAGCGGCTGGCGTGCGTGCCCCACACCGCTCCCGTAACCGTTACCTTCCTCGCGCTTGCTAGTTTGCCGTCCGCCTCCCCCATTTAATAGCGCCAGCCATCATCTGATGCCCTAGCGGTTCTGTAGCGCTCTCCAGTTTTCTGGCCCCCAGCTGCCTCTCCATCCCCCTTGCGCGCCCATTTTTCTCCCCCAGGGCACTGCAACCCATTTTGGAATGCCCCGCCACCCCCCCCCTTTGCAGCAGTGTGATGCATGTGCCCCCAGCCGGTGGCAAACTGCAGCCATTACCGCCCCCCCAAGTACCGTCATTGAATTTGCGCCTCCGTGGGTGCTTAGGGATGCTTCTAGAGTGTGTCTTTCTCTCAGCCCGACTGGTTGAGCCCTTTCCCCCTGATTAGCGACTCAGTGAACCGCCACCGAAATTGCATGTGCTTAGCGTTCAAATCTCCCTTGCCCCCTGGCACGCCAGCCTGTGTTGCGCCAGGGCTCCCCGCCTCTGCCTGTGCTCCTCCTCATCTGTAACTAGAATACACGTCGGCCTGACGGGAGTGGAGTAGCTTACAATGATGGTGGCCGAAATGGTTGACAGAGAGGCAGGGCGCCAGCAGGGGCAGGTGCTCCGAGCTCAGGGCGCCAGCGCCAGCAGGGCTGATGCTGCCGCCGCCAGCCCGCCGTGCAGCAGCCCCCGCAGCGGCGCCCTCCCTGCCGCCGCCCCCACCACGTTGCTGCTGCACTGCTCCCGCACCAGCATGCCCTCCTCCTCCTCCGACATCACAAACTTGTGTCGGTTGCAGGCGATGTACTGGGCCGTGGGGAAGTCGGGCGGGGAGCAGCCCACGTTGATGGCGTCGGGGCGCTGGTACACCCTGCAGCCGCAGGCAGGCGCGGGCGCGGGCAGGCAGGCAGGGAGCAGCCTCGCTAGGACCAGCTGGGAGGCGAGGCGTGCAAGCACAAGCAGGCGTGCACGCAGGGGCAGGCAGGGGTCGGGGCAGGGGCAGGGGCGGGCCGTCGGCTGGCTGGCGCCGCCTGGCGCTGGCTGCCGGCAGCTGCCCCGGAGCCGCCCCCCACACACCACCACCACCACCCCGCCCACCTGACCCAATCGACCTTCATGGCGGCCGGAAAGGGCAGCTGGCCGTACTGAATCTCCCCAAACGCCTCGCTCATACCCAGGTTGAAGATCACATACATGGGCTCTAGCGGGATGAGGCGCGGACCCACCCACGCACCTGCACCCAGGGGGTCACCCCGCGCCTGTGAGCGACGGCTGCGGCACGTGCCGCTCGGCAGGCGCCGCCGCATGGGGCGGCAGCGGCGGCGGCGGCGGCGGACCGCATGTGCTGGCGCCCCCGGGCGGCCCACTGCCGGACCCGGTCAAGCGGCCCGCAGGCCTGCCGCCGCCCACCTGTGGCGTTGGTCTGCTCAACCAGCGCCTGCGAGTTGACCTCGTACAGCAGCACGCCATCCAGGTACCACCGAAGGTACTGCACACGGGGGTTGGCGTGGCAGGGCGGTACCGCTCAAGCGTGTGGCAGCGCCCTCCGCTACCAGCCCCCACCCACACCCGGCACCCCGCCAGCCGCGCCCCTGCCGCACCCCGGCCGCAGCCCGCAGCCCGCGCACGCAGGCAGGCAGCCTGCGCACCTGCCCCGGCCGCCAGTCCACGCCGTACGTGTGGTACCCTGTGTAGTAGCTGGGCCCCAGGTCGCTCAGCGCGCTCACGCTGTCCTGGTACTCGTTGCCGGGCCGCTGCAGCGCGCCCGACCAGGGGTTGCGCCTCGTGGCGTACGGCGACCCCGCGCCTGCAGCCAGGGGGCACGGCGCCGGCCAGGGCAGCGGCGGCCGGCCAGCTGGCCGTCAGGCGGCGGCGCGGAGGCGAGGAGGGCGGGGAGGGAAGCGCCTAGTGATTCGCTGACAGGTGTGCAGGACCTGGCGCAGGGCGACGCGGTGCGTACCGGGGTACTGCACGCCGCCCGAGGCGGGACCGCTCCACCAGTTGGTCCCCTCTGGCATGAGCGGCGCCATCTGCAGCGTCTGGCTGGCGTGCGGCGGCTGCACGCCGCCGGGCGAGTTGCTGCAGCGGCAGGGGGGGCGGCAGCGCGGGGCAAGAGTGGGCGGCGCGCGGGTCGGGCAGCGAGAGACGCTGCGGCCTGCGACGCTTTGCCTGCCGCGGCCTGGGAGGGATGCGCGCGCCCCGCTCCCACCCTGCTGGCTGGCGCCCTGCCTGGCGCCCTGCCATGGCTCGCCTGGTCTCAAACACGTCAAACTCCGGGGCGCCGCGCCCCTGCTGCGGGTGCAGGCCCCATGCCGCGCGGTTGACCCCGGGAGGGTCCCCCGGGCACGCCGTGATCAGCTGGCCTTCCAGCCCGCTCCACTCCTGCTTGCCCGACCCCTGGCACGTGTTGTAGCTGTACGGCCAGGTGCCCGCCGTGGACGCCATGTACCCAGCCCGGCCCAGGTTGCCCATCGTCCAAAACGCGGGCTGCACGGCAGGGAGGCGAGGGCTACGCAGCTCGCGCCAGGCAGGCAGCGAGGCAGCAGCGGCTGCCCCCCCGCTGCAGGCAGCACAGCGGCGCGGCGCGGCCCCAGAAGCGGGCAGGCAGGCCGGGGGTGCAGCGTGGGCAGGGAGGGCAGCGGGCACCTCCCCTCACCCAGAAGCCGCTGGTGACGGCGTTGCCGGGCAGCTGCACCGCCGCCTCGATGTACCCGCCTGCGCCACATCATCACCATCATCATCAGCAGCAGCAGCACCAGCCTCAGTACACGCCTCAGCACGCGCCGACAACACGCGGGGCAGCAGGCACGTGTGGCACGGGCGCTGCTTGTGGGCGGGAGCAGGCCTGCCTTCCGCCCTCCCCGCGTCCCTCCCTCACTCACTCACCCGTGTAGCAGAACTTGTTCCAGGAGTTGAACATGCCGCTCACATACTTTTTGGACACCTGCCAAACCTCGCCGTCGGGCTGCTGGCTGGGCGCCGTGCCCGCCTCGTTCCCCGGCAGCCGCTCCAGGGTGATGACGGCTGCGCCGCCTGGCACGCAGGCGGGCGGGCGGGCGGGAGGGGAGGCAAGGGAGCGCAGCGTGGGGAGGGCCGCCATGCGCACACCCGCTGCTGCTGCCTGAGGTCGGTCGCGGCCGGCGCCAACACCTCCAGGCCCGGCTCTGCTGCCCAGCTGGGCAGTCGCACCCTGCTGGCCACCCGCCCACCTTCCACCGTGACCTGCTCCGGCCTGTACACCTCCTCGTCCTGCACACGCCGGGAGTACGAATGCGTGCAGCTTTGGCATGAGCGCATCAGGTGCCAGCCCCATCCGAGGATCTGGCTGGACCTGGCCTGGGCATCGACACGGCAGCTGCTGCCGCACGTGGGCACCACCAGACATAGGCACAGTACCTTTGTGGGGAAGTAGTACTGATGCTGCGCCGTCCACCTGCCGTCCTGGGCAGCCGCCTTAAAGTCCCGGTCCAGCGTGTTGAACTCGTCGCTGCAGCGCGCTTGGGGCAACACCTTTGGGGCTGGTGGCAGCCTGAGGCGGTGTGAGAGGATGCCACGAGCGGGCGGCGCTGCGCGTGCAGGGCGGCGCCAGGCGCGTGCACTGCCCACGCTCCCGCTCGTGCCGCACCACGCCATGCAGCCTGACCGCACCTAAACACCAGTTGGTACTGGCCGTCGAAGCCGTCCAGCTGCTTGGTGCAGCTGTCCACAGGGCTGTCCACGTCTATCCAGCCCTCCTTGCCGCTGCTGCTGGGTGCCGCCTGCAGCAGCTGCGACCGGCAGTCGGCGGCAGCCAGCCGTAGGAGCAAGGCGCCTGCGCTACAGTACAATGAAACCATTACATGGGTTTAGGAAGTGGGTAAGAAAGTTCGTGTTTGCCACGCAGCAGCAATAAGAAAGTTCGTGACAGGGCTCGGGGTGGGAGACGGGGTGGGAGACGCAGCGGCCACCTCGAGCCCTGGGCAGCGGCGGCGGCGGCGGCGGCTGAAGCTGGGTGCGGGCGACGCGGCTAGCCGCGACGCCTCTCAGGGACGCGGTACAAGCATCTCTAGAAGGGCCAGCCGAGGGAGTTGAAGCCCCAGCTTCCGGTGGGAACGGTGGTTGAGGGCATCGCGCATGTGGCCGCCTCAGGCAGCTGCTTGCAGCTCAAGAAGCTCCCGAACATCTCACGCGCACCTTGCACCGCTGCCAGCAACAACATGGGGAGGTTTGGTGGGCGCATGGCGTGTTGCGCCAACCGGAGACTAGCAGGTAGGCAGGTGGATTGTTCGGGCATGCACGCAAGATGATACTGCTGCAGTGAGTTTGGACAAACAAGCATTAACACAGCAACATGCACAGGTGGCGGCAGAGCGCCGGCGCCCGGCACCAGGGCCTGCCGGTGTTCAACCTCACGCTGCAGCAATCCATCGGCATCGGGAAAGACGAAAGCGGACCCGCTGATGGATGCGTTCCACCCGTCTGCCGCGCTTCATCATAAAGGGCGGCAGGTGCGACTGCCGCCCTCCGCGTGCCTGCCCTACTGCCCCCAGCTGAAGCTCTGGTGCATAGACTGCAAGCACATCAAACTCTCCTCTCTCTCCTTTTGCCCAAATCGAAACACAAAGGCTGAAGAGGAATCCCAACCAACACCAGCGCCACACCCCGCGCCCCTGCCGGGCTGGGCCGCCGGCGGCAGGCGCCTAGTGTGTGTGAGAAGAAGGGCAGCAGGCCTTGCAGGGCCAATTAGAGGCTGAGAAGATACATGCATCCCTGTTAACTGGAAACTGCACACAGGCCAGTTGGGGCTGGGCTGGCCAGTGCTTTCATCCAGACCGTGAGGGGACACGGGACAGGCACGCCCCGCGCGGGGCCGTCGCCCACAAGGTGCAGGGAGAGCCACCCGGAGCTGCCTCACCAATGCTGACCCTGCCAGCCACAAACCCACCGTGAATCCCATGTTTTGGGCTGAGCCGCCGTTTTCGTGAAAACCGGAAGCTGCCCGCCTCGTCAGGGCAGCCACCTCAGCCCAGACAGATGGCCAGTTGCCTTCCTTCATGGCCGCCACACGGCCTCCCCAGCCGCTCCACTGGACTTATATCGACCTGTGAAAGCGTTTTGGCATTGAAAACTTGCGAGATACGCCACCTTGAGAGCAGCGCGGGATTGGTAAGCCCATCACCACTAGTCAAAAAGTGCCCTCCGGCCAGGAGACGCTTCACAGCATTCGGTGTGTTTTGTGTGCCCGTGTCTTTTCTGTAACCTGTATCGCGCAGCAGCGTCCCTAGCGCCTCTTCCCCACACTCTGCCTCTCCGCCCTCCCCACCCAGCTGAAATGTGTCGCGGGGTGGCTCCCCGCCGCGGATTCGACGATTTACTGGGCAGCTATGACGCCCAGCGCGCCGCGCAGCTCGAGAAAGCTGGCTGGGCGCAGTCGCCAGCACCATGCCCAAGCACAGGTGCGCCAGCGGGGGGCGAAGCATGCCGTTCACCCATGCATCCGCATATCGTGGGGGTGGCAGCGCGGCGGGGCGGTGCTTGGGGACGCAGCCCCACCTCACGTGATGGGTGCCGCGACCGCTTCGCCAGACAGCTACCCGGAACCCCCCCTGTGCACGCCTGACCTTGCCTGAACTCCGTTGGCTGCCTGCAGGCATGGAGCAGCTCCCCCCCGCCGCATACGCTGGGGTGTCCTTTTGTTCCCTCGCCCGCGCGCCGGCGGCGGCGACCGCCCACCAGCGCTCGGCACCCGTGACCGTCTACACCCTGACCCTGCCGCCCAGCAACCTGCACATCTCTCCCTTTGCGAGCGAGCAGGCGGCGTGGGAGCCGGCGCCGCCACCGGCGGCACAGCCCACGGTGCGCCGCGCCGCCAGCGACGCCGTCGCCTCGTGGCTGGCCGGCTGGGCAGCGCTGGCCGCCGAGCAGGGCTGCTCCAGCTCGGATGACGACTACGACTGCCTGCCGCGCCTGGCCGCCACGGTGCCTCGCCAGGCCTCCAGCTCACCTCGGGCCCCGCACCACGCCGCCGCCATGCATTGCTCCAGCGGCGGCAGTGGCTGCGGCAGCGGCCGCGCCGCCCCATCCAACTCGCCTGCGTGCTTCAGGTGCGAGGGCAAGGCGCTGCGCGAGCGGTACATGCTGCCTGGAGCGCAGCCGCGGGACTTGCGCCAGCTGGTGTGCTTTGGTGGAGGGCCTGCCCAGACCGGTGCGCCGATGCCCGGTTGACCTCCACGTGCCGCCACATCTGACCCACGCTTCCCCTGGTTCCCTGCCTGCAGCATCGCCGACTCCGGCTTCCCCACCACCCACCAGCTGCTGCCCAACCTGCCCAGCCTGGACACACGGGCGTCAGGCACCCGCCGCCCCGCAGCCCCGCAGCCCCAGCAGCCGTGCCAGTGGCGCGAGGCAGCCCCCGCGGCGGCGGCCGCCGCCCCCTCCGCTGCCAGCACCAGGCACAAGCGCAGGCGGCAGGAGGCGGCAGCCCGCCCCGCCAAGCGGCAGCAGACCCGGCCGCGCCGCGCCGCGCGCCAGGCCGCCCCCACGCCGCAGCCGCGGCCGCAGCAGGCTGCCGCGCAGCCGTGCGCCACCACGGTGCTGGCCGGCCCTCGCCTTGAGCACCTCACCGCCTGCCCCGCCGACTCCTGTGGCTCCGGCTCAGCCTCCCCCTCGCTGCTGGACCTGCCGGACATGGATGCGCTGTGGGCCAGCGACGACTGCTGGGATGAGGAGGTGCTGCCCCTAGACCTGCTGGCGGATGATGTGGGCCTGATCATGGCGGGCGATGCGCTGGCCATGCGCGACGTCCTGGCCCGCTCCCTCGACCTGTCAGAGTTCCTGGAGCTGTGAGCCTGCCCGAGGCGGGCGCGCCGCCGCTTTTTTCCATCCAAAATAATCCGCCGCGATTTTGCGCCCACGCTCTGTGGTGGGCTCCATCTGGCAGAACCCCTCGCCGTGCCAGCCGCTCCTTTGCGAGCCCCCTTTGCCTTTCAGACCCCAAGCATGTGTTTTCCCCTTTTCTATGTCCTTTCTGGCTCTTCTGGCGCAGCCTTGTCCAAGGCAGCTCTTGTTTCATTTTTCCAATCTTTCTGAGCACGTCACTCCTTCACCTCATGCTAGTGTATGAACTTGTACCCCGCCCCACCCCCCCACGGTCCGGTTGTGACCCAGAAGCCTTATGCTCCCCTTTTTCCCCAGCTCAAGATGGGCCCTTTCACGCCTACACGCCCGCAACCCGGAGCTCTGCCCACCCTTCCCCAGCGCATCCATTTCTAGGGTGCAAACACCTGCCAGTTAAATAAACAGGTTGTCATTTGTCACACTCCTTTCAGGTTGCATAACCCCTGGCGGCTGGGAGATTGCCTCCTTGGACAAACCCAATACCCCTCCGTTACACCCCCAGGCCTCCAAAGGTCAAACCCCCTTCACCGCCTCCTTTCAGATGGTTACCACATCATCGTTTGCGTCTTCTTTCCCTATTTCTTGTCTGCCTGAGCTCACCAACCTCACCAACCAATGCAACATTGGAGACTGTCAGTGGTCTGGCAATGCTCGCAGGGGCCGGGGCGTGGTCACACATGTGTCATTACACAGCAGTATTGGGGGCCGCATCCAGCAGCTGTCATCTGTCGCCCTCCTGCCCGCCGCCGCTGCTGACCTTGTGTGCCGCCACGTCCTCCACTTGCTGTGCGTACACCGACAGGCGGATGGGGAACTGGGTCACCATCACAGCCATGAGCTGGATCTGCAGGCAGGCAGGCAGGCAGGCAGGCAGGCAGCCCAGCGGCAGCAGCGCGCATCTGAGGACACCACGACGCCAGCCTGTCGAGCGCCGGGAGCGCCGCCAGCTGGCGGGGCTTGCCAGCAGAGCGCTGGGGTGCTGGCCCGGCTGGCCGGGCGCCTCACCTTGTGCCCATCCGACTTGGCCTCCCCCTCCTCATCTACAATCGTCACCCGGATCACGCACTTTGCGTGCTGCGACACCTGCAGCAGAATGCGGCCGATGGGGGCGTGGAGCACAGCGTTAGCGCGTGGGGTGGGGTGGGGGCCAATCAGGCTGTGCCGCGTACAACCAGGGCATGCTGCGGGGTGCCGTGCGATGCGGATGGGAAGTGGTGGGCAGCTAGCTGGCCAGGCAGGCCGCGGCTGGGGACACAAACGCAGGCGGGCACTGGGGAGCCAGCAGGAAGCGGCAGGGGGCATGGTTGCGGGACAGCAGGGGCTTGGGGTTGCGCCGTGCCGGCGTGGGGCAGCAGCGGGGAGGCGGGCGGGCACCCACCCTGAACATGTGGATCTGCTGCAGCGAGACCTGCTGCTCCCAGGTGGCGTCGATGGTGGTGTCCTCGCAGCGGCACCCAGACCGGCACCGCACCCGCGCCACGCCCATGTGCTGCAGCAGGCGGGCCGAGGCGGGAGGCGCGCGGCAGCGGGTCGCGCCTGGCGTGTGTGGCAAGCTTTGATCCAAACGAAGCAGGCGCTGACGCCTCCAGGAGGCTGCCTGGCCCCACGGGAACGCCGGCAGCGCCCCCCGCGCACCTGGTAGCTGCGCAGGTAGCTGAGCCAGATGTTGGCCTTCAGCTTCTTCCCCTCCTTGTCCACCCGTATGCCCTTGCCGTCTGCCCGCGTGTCCAGCTCCAGCTCCGCCCACGCCCCCGCCTCCACCCCCGTCCACCCCCACTTCTGCTCCACAAAGCTGGGCGCCTGCGGCCGCTCCGCACGCCACTCAAACCCGCTGGAGCGGACCACCATGGGACGGAAGTCCTCCTGCAAGGATTGGGGGGGGGGGGGGGGGGGGGGGGGCG